ACCCACCCGCCTCGAGAAGCCCCCCCGAGCGCGCGACGCTTCCGATTCCAGGTGCCGCTGACGTTCGACGACATCTCGGTGTACTTCAACGAGGAGGAGTGGGAACGCCTGGACCGCTGGCAGAAGGACCTGTACAGGGCTGTCATGAGGGGGAACTACGAGATGCTGATCTCCCTGGGTGAGGCGCGGGGTTTGCGGCTCTGGGTGAGGGTGGACTGTGTCCTGATGGCAGGGTGGCTGCAGTGGGGCTGGGTGCCCACAGCTAGCGCAGCCCCTCTGGGCAGCCATGTGCTCATAAGGAGTAAGCAGTGTCTGTAAGAGATGTCTGTAGTAAGTAATAGTAGCGATAATACCACAAGTAGTATCTGCTGTGAGACAAAGCCACGTGAGATGCTGCTCCAGGTGACTGCGTAAGTGGATTCGGGGTCAGCGAAGCACCGTGATCGTCCGGCACAGTTCAGGAATTACCTGGGTGGAGTCTGGTAACGGCACCTTGAGCTGGTTCATGTCTTCTGTCTGTTTAGCCCCTGCGTAAAGTGACAGGGACATTTCAGGTGTTCAGACACCGTGTGGATATGTCACATGGGGACACAGTTTGGCAGGCGTGGGGGTGGTGGGGTGACAGTTGGGCTTGATGATCTCAGAGGTCTTATTCAACCTTAACGATTCTGTGATTTGATGATTTCCATCTGCCTTGGTAAAGAACGAGCCTCGTCACACTTGGGCTTTCTAAGGACGGCCGGCGTGTTCTCAGCTGATTGGGGCTGCGAGATGTTCCCCACCAAATGCTGTTTCTCGGGCACAAGTGGCACCAGGCCGCTCTGCGCCGCTGCTGAAGTTGAGGCTTCGCTTTTCTCAGTAACGTTTTGTAGAAACAGAACAAACCCGTTCCTCTCTTGGTCCTCCTGCCGCAGACGTCTCTACAGAGCAGGAAGTTTCCCATCCCTGCTCCAGAACGATAGCTCAGAGGAATTGCTTTTCGGTCACTGCTAAAGCTGAAATGGGAGGCAAATGTTAAAAACTAAGCCTTTCCCTCTCCTTTCAGGTTTTAGTTCATGTTCTGCTGTTTAGAGTTTCTCTGTACTTGAGGTGCAGCTGTGCTCAGGGGTGGATCTTGTCATAGGGCCAAGAAAGCAGCACCACCTTTCCGGTTAGAGCACGGATAATGTATTTGTGTCCGTCTGTCCTGCCTGCTGGCCGTGGGGTTGGGGAGAGAAGGGTCCCTCTGGAACGTCTGGGCGTTCGACAGAAGGGAGCTGTAGCCAGATCCTAACGAAACGCACTGTCCTCTGCTCCTCTGCCCCGCGAGCAGACTACGCTGTGGCCAAGCCTGACATCCTGTCCCGGATCGAGAGGGATGAGGAGCTCTGCATCAAAACCGGTCTGGAGTCCCCGCAGACGCACATCGAAGATGGTCTGGAGCCCCTGCAGACACCCATCCGAGATGGTCTGGAGTCCCTGCAGACACCCATCCGAGGTGGTCCGGAGCCCCTGCAGACACCCATCCGAGATGGTCTGGAGTCCCTGCAGACACCCATCCGAGATGGTCTGGAGTCCCTGCAGACACCCATCCGAGATGGTCTGGAGCCCCTGACGACACCCCTCCGC